TCCATGGAAGTGGATTATTGACTTACTTTATTTCATTTCTATTTGATCTAGTCTCAACCAATTATTAGTGCAATCAAAGAATTACARTCATATGCTGGGAAAGAAAAAAGAGAATTCAATCCATTTGTTCCACAAGAAGAATTCAATAAAGCCGTAGACAAATATGCTGCAGGAAGACTAGATGAAATATTTTCAAACTTCAGTTTCACAAAGGTGGGGTGAATTGACCTAATTCACTATGACGTCACTGCTTGTTTACGTCGGGAATAGAATCGCCAAATCCAATAGAAAATTCAACTAAATTTGATCCTAGCGAGACAGTTTAATCTAAAATGGCCTGGTTTTCAGATATAATATGTGTTAATATGTACTAAAAAATATTCTGAGCGTTTGCTGGCTATTCTACTTCTCTTCGTGGAATGATACGGGATTTAGAACAATTTTCAGTTAGTTTGCGTTGATTTGACCCCGTCCGACGAACATGGTCCTTTGCGTTTAAACAATAGATTGTTGAATATTGTTTTGATGTGACGTCATAGTGAAGTAGGGCAATTGGTAAATTATGATAGAATACATTCTTGTCACAGTGTTTGATAATGATGATGATGATGATGATGATGATGATTTTGTAATATTATTTATTTTGTCAATGCCTCTTGCAACTTGATACCTTTCTGTTTTAGATGCAAAGAGATGAACAAATTTTCAAGTTACGAGATGAGTGTATTGAAAAATTCCAAGGTAACCAAAAACATTTTTTCTTTGACTTGTTGATGTTTCTCTGAATGCTGTTGTAAGTGAACACGGTTCATATCCTGTATATTCCTTTCATGTTTTTAGAAGAATTACCTGAAACCAGCAAGTTATTAATAGAGCAAGCATTTTATAATATTAGTAGAGCGGTATTAAAAAAGAATATTATGGACAAAGCTCAAAGGTATGTATTGTATTTTTTTAAAATTTTTTTGATACTTTAATGTTATTAGTGTCATTCATGTGTCTTTCACGTGTTTATGCCTTTTCATACAGGTGTGATGGCAGAAGTTTCAACCAACTGAGAGACATCAAATGTGAATTAAACTTATTTGATACCCTACATGGTTCTTGTTTGTTTGATAGAGGAGAAACACAGGTAYGGGTTTTTAGCTGGGATGGTAATCTGTATACATAATTGAAAGGATGACACACCTTTTCTTCTTGTTTATAAGGTGTTCTGCACAGTAACCTTTGGATCTGTTGGTGCGGCAGCTAAAACGGACAATGTCTCAGTTGCTTTRGGGTAAGGATAATATTATCAGGGGGTAGATATCAGTAAGAATACACATCTTTCCTGTAAACAGCTCTTAAAAAAGGTTGGTGTTGTGGTAATGCACTCACTCTTATGGGCTCTGAGCTCTCAGGTTCAATTGCTGGACTTGGCATCACATGTGAGTAGAGTTTTTCAGTTCTCTCCCTTGATTGGAGCTTTCCCTGTGGATTCTTCTTCTTTTTTTTTTTTAGATCTATAGTTAGCAGTAACTTTGACCAGCTCAGAGGTCATTTCAGAGTATCGATCTGTGAGTTAGCCATGTTCTGACTTAGATCAGC